CATTGATATGGAAACATTTTATCAGTTGAATGCTGTCAAGTCCTTCATACATTTATTATCCTTAAAGTTTGCTATTCATAACTATGTATTTTTGTTTTGCATCTTAAGCTTGATTTAATTTTGCATACATTGATTTTTTTTTTTTTTTTTTTTTTTTTATTAGGCTTAATTTATACATTGATTTTTTTTTTTTTTTTGCTATTAGGCTTAATTTCGTTTATTTTTTTTCTTTTCTATTCCATTATTATTTTTTCTTTTCCATTATTTTTTTTTTGTTTTGCCATTAGGCTTAATTTTTATTTATTACTTTTTGCACTTTAATTTCATCTTCCGTGCTTAAAAAATATATATATATACAAAAAAACAAAAATCGAAATGAAAAAAAAAAAAAAAACTTAAAATAACAATATTTACATTAAAAAAAAAACTCTTCATTCATTTTTTCAGCCATTGGCCGACCTCACTTCCTTGCCTCTTCCACCACTCTCATCTTCTTTTTATCACCTTGGGAAGTTCTTGAAGGCCCTGCCCCGTGCTTTCGCCGAGAGCGACGACTCCCAACTGACTATCAAAGGTCAAGAACGACGTTGCTCCAAATTAGGCCATGGAGGTGGTCTTCCGTTTAAGCTCTTTATTTTCGGTCTTCAGTGCGCTTATTTCTGCTCGCGCATCCTTATACATGCGCTGGAGCAGAGAGAGTTAGGCATTGACCTGATGGAACTCAATCGTCCTGTTCTACAGTCGGTGAGCCAATTTTGTGACTGCAGTCACTGTCTCCATACAGGACGTCAGTGTGAAATGATTGGCTTCAATGTCTGATTGAGCTGCCATTATTTGCTCAATCGACATCATAGGAAGGTTAGGAAGAGTAGGAGCCGGGGTACTTGGCCCAGCAGAGCTTATGGGATCGTTCAGGTCTGGAAACAGAGTGAGGAGACGGGATAAGAAAGCCATGGTTTAGAGGTGAGAGGTGTACAAGAAATGAGTTGCGAAGAAACAGAAGAGAGTGATGAAGAAGAGATAGAAGAGAATGGTAAAGAAGAAAATGGAAGAGTGTGTGATTAAGAAGAAGGCAAAAAGAGAAGAAGACAAGGAGGGAGAGGGAGCCGAGGAGAGTACAAATCGAGGCCTGCTTTTGTTAGCCAATGACGCAAAAGTGAGGCTGCGTGTCAAACGCGTTTATCGAAGGAAAAAGAGAGATGCGGGAGAGTTGTATGTGTATGCATATATGTATATATATATATTGAATTGTATAGATACCATTCATCACTATCATTCTCTTTCTTCTCCTCCAGATTCTGACCCATGATTTCCTTTTGATAATGTCACAGGGGGAGAAAATTATGATGTTATGTATTATGGTATTATTTTCAAACTAATTTGATGTTATGTATTTATAATTTGATATCTTAGTCCCATATCATGTTTCTAATTAAAACTTATTTATTACACATATAGCGATCCCAGTTTTCTCTCCTTTGGTTGTTGTATTCCGGACTTAGGGTCCGTGGTGTTGGTTGTTGTATATACCTTGTTTCCATCCTTCAATTCTATATATTTGAGTTTTAGGTTGTGTTTGGCAGGTTTGTAACAGGTTGGTTGTGATTGGGAGCAAATGGTTGTTGCCCAGATTTTGGTGTCTTCGCTCGAGCGAGACTTTTGTCACTCGAGCGAGCTCTTTGTTTTTGTTCCTTCGTTCGAGCCAGGGTTCCTTCGCTCGAGCGAGAGTTAGGTGATGTGTCTGGTGGCTCGAACGAGAAGTCTTGCGCTCGAGCTTGCGTCTGCGTCTCTTTTTGACCTGAAGGTTGTATTTCTTGGCTCGAGCGAGCTTTTCTTCGCTAGAGCGAGCGAGTTGTATGTTTTGAGTTTCTTCGCTCAAGCGTGCTTCTGGGTTGCAGACCTAAAGCTTCGAATTGTTGGCTCAAACGAGGCTTTCTACGTTCGAGCAAGGTTTCTTTGTATCTGGTCGCTCGAGCGACCAATCCTTCGCTTGAGCGAGCCTCGAATATATTAGTTGGCAGCAGCTTTTTCTTCTTTACTTTTTGAACTCTTTTTCTTCTAAAGCCCTAGAATGGCTACTCCCTCTCTCTCTACATACCTTCTCTCTACAAATACTCCATATTCTAGTGGTCTCCTACTCTAGTTCCTTTGTATAAAGTGTAGAGCTTGGCTTGGGCTATCTTTGGATCCGAAAAAAATGTTGATTTTGAGCATCTTTGGGTTTTTTCATCTTTCCCTTTGGGCTTCAAACTTTGAGGTAAGGGTAAATACTCATATTTATGATCTTTGACATAAACTTGTAGTCATTTTGATTTAATGTTGTAGTTGGGAAAGTTTGAGAGTTAGGGTTTCAAACCTTAAAAATGTGTAAAGAGGGGTTTTTGTCCTATTGAACTATATGTGTGTATTTGAGCCTTAAAATGAAGTTATTGAGGTCTATTGATGATATTTGGACCTTTGGGTCAATATTGAGAAAAAGGGGAAAATATCTTAGTTGGGATTAATTAGATCATTTGTGAAATTAATGACATTTATTATGAGATAATGAAATTGGTTTGGAAATAATGAATGGTGGAGTTGGATTGGTTAATTACTCACCTTTGAACTTGTTGATAATTTATCTGTTGACGCATTTATTATCTGTTTAGAAATAATTGCTTTGGGTTATCGGTGAAGGATAGTCTTGATTGTTGTAGACACTGCATGATGATTAGGTGAATTAAAACTAATCAATTGGATATGTCATTGAATATGACGGATGGAATAACACATTGAATATGTGCTTTGCTTGATCATTGTATATGATAAGTGTTTAAATACATTGTATATGTATATTGTTTGGGAAGAGATATGAGATGTACTCCATGGTTTGAGAGGAGATAGGGGATGGACTCTCAAACCTGTTTGGGAGGAGATCGGGGATGAACTCCATTAATACAACAAATATGTGTATTAAGTGAAGTATTGGAAGTGTTTTAATATGAGTTACAGTCTCATTGAATTGTTTGGCCAGGTTCTGAGCCATGTTTATGAATTGAATTGGTTAAGTACAGGAAAGTGGAATGAAACATGGACATATTTGTCATGAAACTGGAATATGTTATAAGTTGGTTTATATGAGTTAAACGTTTATCAAATGCTAATATTTTAGTTATTGCTCATATTATGTTTAGCATATCTCTATTGGGCTTTGGCTCACCCTATATGGGACATCATTTTCAAGTTCATGTGACATGTCACCTCCAAGGACATAGCTTGGAAGGTTTTGGGAGTTGAAGACTCTTTTGGTTATTTTGTTGATTTTTGGTTATTACATGTATATCAAGCCATGGGCTTATTTGTGTAAAGAGTTAGAACTCTATTTTTGTTGAACCCAAGTGTTGACTCGGAAAGTTGTAAGCCTATAGGGCATTTACTTTTGTTGTCAACATGTAATATCTCTTGTAAGAATACTCTGATGTTGGGAATATGATATCTCTTTCTTGTATAATAAATGTATGATTATGGGTCTATTTTGAGGGTGTTACAACACATATGCCAACCTATGTTTTTAGAAATGAATTCAGGGAGCATGACTTGAGGGGGAGTTTTTCTTACTCCAAAATCAAATCAAAACATCATTGTGTACCATTATCAAAAAGGGGGAGATTGTTAGACTTATTTATTTTGATGATTTATTTAATTATATTTGGAAGAGAAAAATAGAATCAAAATTTATTTTGATGATTTATTTGAAAGAGAAAAATAGAATCAACATTTATTTCGATAATTTATTTAATTATGCTTTAATTTATTTGAAAGAGAAAAATATAATCAAAATTTATTTTGCCCCATTATTTCTCACCTAAACCTTTATCTTAAATGTTGTTAGAATGTATTTAATATTTAATTAAATCAGGAGTTCAAACAGCCCAAAAATAGAGGTTCAAACAGCCCAGCACATCAGCAGTTCAAAAGGTTCAAGTGGAAGATATTCAAATTAGTAATAATGGTGTGGAAGATATTCAAATTAGTAATGATAGAGTACAATGGCTATAAACGGCTATAAATTCAAATGAATACAACGGCTATAAGATTCATTATATATACCAAAGCCTCTAATGTAAATAAGTTACAAAAAATTAGAAAATATTCTTTAATCTATAATCACTCAAATCTATTCTTTGAAAAATTTTCTGAGAAGTGTTCTTCAATTTTTGTTTACATCCTCTTTCAAAAATTATACACGGAGACGTATAGCTTTAAGCCCATCTTTCCTGTGTGAGGTTTACAGAAAAACCAGAGTTTTATTTTTATATCTATCTTTGAGAGATAATTCTTGTAGCTTTCTGTGAAAGCAAAAACACATTCTTTTCAACCTTGTAAGAGTGTAGTATACTTAGTGTTCCTGACTTAGAAAGTCTGTGTAAAATCCGTGGATGATTGTTTTATTTGTAAAAAGGTTGCTAGCACCCCCGTGAAGGTAGAGTATAGTGGAAAATCTCAAGTGAAGCTTGAGGAGTGGACGTAGGCCGAGTTGAATCCGAACCACTATAAATTTGTTTGTCTTTCTCTCCCTTATCTCTTTATTTTATTTAAATTGCTGCAGTTATATTTCACATTTTCACTCTGCTAAAATCATTAACTGATATAGTTGTTAGAACACTTGTTTTAATTATTTTTATTTCATCAATTATATTTATCTATTGTGTTAGTCATAATTTTTATTAGGATATTATTAATTTTTAATTATAAAAACTTAATTTATCCCTCCTCTTAAGTTGTCCTTTAGGTAACAAAATGTATTTATAATTTACCCAAAATAAAATTGATAAATCAGATTAATTTCAGATGTAATCCAAACCACATCAATTCAAATCAATATCATGAATTTTGTTTAGTATTATTTTGGATGTTTCCCACCCAGTCAACAATTTCATTGCTGAAGCGATTGGGCTTCTTCAATGAAAGCCCATGATATAGCTCCAGTCAGCCTAAAGCCCAGGTCCATTGTAGAGGTTTCTCCGAGCCCAGAACCGTAGTCTATATAAACTGCCCCACAGCCATCCCTCAAAAACCCTAATCAACTGTAAGGTAAACCGGAGCAAGATCAGCTGCAGCAGCAGGACCATTTCTTCTTCATCTCCGCGGCCGACTCTCCGTTTCGTCGAAGATGAAGGTTAGGTTTCGGAACTAAAACCCTAAATTTGGAATTGTATAATCTGCAAAACCGTAAATCTCTCTCTCTCTCTCTCTCTCTCTCTCTTCGTGTTCTATAACAAGATTTCGTTTTTTGTTTTTGTTTTTGTTTTTGTTCTTGTTTTCAGTTCAACATCGCAAATCCGACCACTGGATGTCAGAAAAAGCTTGAAATCGACGATGACCAGAAACTGTGAGCTCCTTTTATTTATTTATTTATTATCCTTTATTGGTTGATTTGACTTCAAATTTTGTACTAAGGCCTCGTTTGGCAAGAGGCTATTTTAGCCAATTAGTCAAAAAGTTATTAAATTAGCCCAAAAGCCAACAATCCATACCAAAAAGTGAAAGATTCTCTTTTCTCTCTACTTTTCGCACATCTTTTCGTAATTAGCCAAAAAGTCATCCCAAACATACAAGTTTTTTTTACCTACCTTTTTAGCCAAATAGCCAAAAAGTTACTAAATTAGCCTGTTCCCAAACAAGGCCTAAATATTCTGGAAAGTTGTATTTGTTGAATCGAATTGAAGCAGGATTGTATATTTGACACTGTTTGAGAAAATTTAATCTGTCAGTTGAAAAATATTGCATTGAATGTAATCTTTCTTGATCTTTGAAATGGTTGAATTGGATGGGCATACATAGGGACACGTGAATGTGGGATTTCTGGGTTTTTGACTGATTATTCAATGCTTTGAGAGATGTGAGGTTTGTGAGATTTTGTCGGTTTATTATTGAGTCGGGAAACCTTTGAAAATGCTGTTACATTTTTATCTAAATTCAAATTCACCTCTTATGTTTTGATTGTATTGCACGTTAGGGATAAATAAACATTTTCGTTCTCAAGGATTAGTGGGTTTGAATCACACTTTAAGGCCTAGTTTGGGAAGACTAAATAAGTGTACTTTTTGACTTTTTATGAAATATTGGTTGGGTTTGGGTTGGGTTTGAAGTGATGTGTTAGAGAGGTGATGTGACTTAAATAAGATGATGTGACTTAAATAGGATAGTGACTGTTTGACTTTTTGTCTTTTTTCAATCATGCCAAACTTGGCCTAAATTTTTAAGTAGTTTTGTCTTAACTGTCGTGATGCTGAAAATTATCTCTGATGGTAGTGCCATTTTCTTTAATCTCAATATAATTTTATGATTCAAATATTTGGATGATACACTAAAAAAGAAAAAAGAAAAAAGAAAAACTATGATCTATTATTAGTTCACAATTGGTGGCTTGCTGCAACTGCGTAATACACATGTATGTAATGTCCACTGAAAATGCTATTTGTTGCAAGTATGTTATATTCTGCTCAATATGACACTCATACATCCTGATCTGGCATTAACAATGAACAAGTGTATTGTTGATTAAACTCCCATTAAACTCTAGGAACTCTTTGAGCTACATTATTATTAAAGTATTAGGAAATGGAGCAGTATCCTATTATATGCTATCAATATGTTTTAATGAATCAAGACTACTTATGTGTAAAAGCTATTTGATTGAAATGCATATTAACTCATAAACCAACTAGTGGAGACGCTTTTTTGCAGGTAATTTTATGCTCATTTTATGTTTTCGTGCTTGACAAGGTTTTAAAGCAATTGTAGTAATGTCAAGGCCTTAGTTTCTAGCCTACTAGATATTGATGGTATCTTTCTACTAATGTGTGAGAACCATGTTTGTGCATGTGCATGTATATATAATGTGTAGGGGAGTTTTTTGTGTGGTCTTTAGGGATATTGGATTCAATTTGGAAAATTAGGTTTTTTTCAAGCTGTATCTAATGAACTAATTGTGCAAAATCTTTAGAAGTTAGTATAGGGCATTTTTTTTTATCGATATATGATTTTTCTTACTGTGTACAATAATTTTGTTGATTATAATTGTTCATGATTTTGTTGCTTTATGTTAAAATCCATGTAAAAGGTCCGGGAGTCTATAAAGCACATTTTGTTTTAATGTGTTTTCTTCTATTGTTGAAATTGTATACCCATGCAATAAAATGTATGTCTTGCCTCAAAATTGCTTTTTATGATGCAGCCGAGCCTTTTTTGACAAGAGGATCTCTCAAGAGGTCAGCGGAGATGCTTTGGGTGAGGTATAGTCTAGCTATTTTTTTTCTCCGTTGTTTTCACCGCAGTTTTTATTATTATCTGGATTTGTCTATCTGGTTGTTAGAATTGTATGATTTACGATTAGATTTATAGGACTTGATGCTCGTTTCAACCAAAACAATTTGATCTATTAGTTATATCATTATACGTGGTTTTCTATGTATATGAATATATTCAATTTAACTTCACTGATATTTATTTCATTTTAAATATTATGAGTGTATTTTTATATGTATATACATATATAGAATTATATATTATGTTAAATAAAGTGAGTTGTATGATTAGCCATTCACTATATTTGACAACAATGTCTGTCAGTATTAAGCATCTTCATTTTTTTTGCAGGAATTCAAGGGCTATGTATTTAAAATAATGGGAGGTTGTGACAAGCAAGGCTTCCCAATGAAGCAGGGAGTGTTGACTCCAGGTCGTGTTCGGCTTTTGCTTCACCGAGGTTGGTTGAATTTGAAACTCTCTTACCTTCATTGTATATAACTAAAAGTGTTATGCACAGCTGCTCACAATGTCATATTTAGCTGAAGTTTTTTTTTGGGTAGAAATAATGACTCTGTTAAATAGGTACACCTTGCTTCCGGGGATATGGCAGGCGAAATGGAGAACGTAGAAGGAAGTCTGTTCGTGGATGCATAGTCAGCCAGGATCTGTCAGTCTTGAACTTGGTTATTGTCAAGAAGGGTGAGAGTGATCTGCCTGGACTGACTGACATTGAGAAACCAAGAATGAGAGGTCCAAAAAGGGCATCAAAGATTCGGAAGCTCTTTAACCTTTCAAAGGAGGATGATGTCAGGAAGTATGTCAACACATATCGTCGAACTTTCACAACCAAATCTGGTGAGTTTTGTCATCCCTTCTTGGTGAGTTTTGGAGTGTACAAGCACAAGGTGAACACCTGCTGAAATTCTATTTAAGAGCAAGAAGGAAAATTTTACTCAGGTCAAGTGATGGTCATCAAATCACTTATTATAAAAAAAAGAAAAAAGAAAAAAAAGACCATGTTATTTGTGGTGGTTGAAAAAAAATAATTATTTATGGTTCACAGGGAAGAAGTGCAGCAAAGCTCCCAAAATACAGAGGCTGGTTACTCCCTTGACACTTCAGAGGAAGCGTGCGAGGATTGCTGACAAGAAGAAGAGGATTGCAAAGGCCAAGTCAGAGGCAGCCGAGTATCAGAAGCTTCTTGCTTCCAGGTTGAAGGAGCAGCGTGAACGTCGTAGTGAGAGCTTGGCAAAGAGGAGGTCCAAGCTCTCTACAGCCTCTAAGCCATCTGGTACCGCTTAGGCTAACTGAGGTATCATCCTTAGTGTTTTCGGGTAATGTTTAGACGGTATTACTTTTTCTTTGTTACTGAGGAATTTGGCCATTTTTTAGATTTGAGATCATTGGATAATTTTCCGTTCTGCTTAATATGTAGCTTTTTTGGGTTATATCTCTAGACAGTTCGTTACTAAGGGAATTTAGCCATTCTTTAGATATTTGAGGTCATTGGATAATTTTGGGTATGGTATTGTTCTACTTATAATATGCATTTGGGATTTGTTTGAGTTTATGTTTGTGTCATTGATGTGGAGCTGTTCCACCATTATTTTCTGGTTTGGTTATAAATTTTAAATATTAATTTGGTTGACTTGTTGGTTGAGCTATTGGGACTAGATTCTGAGATATTGTGAATCTTAATTTGTTCTATTAGCTTTCGTTGTTAGTTGCTGATACTCCAGTCAACTACCTAATCTTTGAATGGGTAGGTGTATGTATTGTTCTAATTGGCGTTGAGGTTTAAGTATTTAACCAGCATTTTTTTTTAAAAAAAATTATTTATTGCAAACAATGGTTTCTGAAGTCTTTGCCTGCCCGTGGGAGTTTTTACAATGTTATTCTGTTTGAGTCGTGGAAAGGAATAGAAAGGGAAAAAAATCCAAGTGAATATGTGGAAAACTAGAAAGAATTTGAAGAGAGATGCTTGTACCAATTAGGAAGCTGCCTCTTAGCTCCCCACTTTTGGGCCACTGGCCTTGGCTGATAGTATTTTGTCTTCCAACAATTCCATTTTGGGCCATTGGTTATCCTGAAGGACTTTGTGTGTTAGTTTCTTTCTGGCTTTCTTCCAACACTCTAGGGTATCTTGACTCAAATTTGAAAGCTATTTCCAGTCTAATCTACTATTGAAAAGGGTTTGTATTTTTGTAATTTTTTTGCAAATTCATCCTCCAGGTTTTCCCGTGGACATTTTTGTGTCATGAAGTCTTCACATTAGATGTGGAGATTCAGGATATTTGTACTCCAGCAGCAGTGATGATCCATCGGATGGCTTTTAGATGTGGACATTTTCTCAACTCTTCATTAAATTTCTACTTAAATTCATGATTTAAATATAAAAAATAAGAGTACTATCATATTTTTTTATAATTATTAATTGTTTTTGATAAATTGAACCTAGTAAATTAGGGTTGACTATTCAGTACTCCCGGAGGAGTATGGACGCGTGGTGTTTCATAATGTTTTGATTGGTGGAGAGACACAAGGGTCCACGATTTATGTTGGAGATGGGGGGACAACATGGGGCTAACTAATTGGTGATTGGTTTGGATTGATTGGTGGAGAGACACAAGGGCCCACGATTTATGTTGGAGATGGGGTACAACATGGGACTAACTAATTGGTGATTGGTTTGGAGTATGGACATGTGGTGCTCCGAGAGTATTGAATAATTTCCGGTAAATTAGAGGGGAAAGAAGTCTTTCATTTGTTTAAAGTCTTTCATATTGCAAATCTCCAGCCCTCGCCTTTCTACATTTTTTTATTCTTTCCTGGGGGGACTAGCCAGTCGCTTGTGGAAGAAACAACTAACAGTAACTCCAATTTTTCGAGGGAAAATGTTTTGAGACTTTTAAAAATTATTCATACCGTTACTCACAATGATGTGGTAATTATTAGTTTGGTACACATTTAATGATAGTGTGTTTAATTCTCATGTCATATCATTATAGGTAAATTTGTAAGTATAAATATAGTAAATTTGTCAGTGTAAATATGCGAGTATAAATATAGTAAATTTGTCAGTGTAAATATGCGAGTCCGTAAAAAAAAAAAGAAGTTAAGTGAATGATAACACCAAAACTCAATTTGTGAATATAAAAAAAAAAAGGAAAAAAAAAGAAACTCAATTTGAGGTGTACGGCATGAAACTTTTATAGTTTATTGTCGGTAGTATATCTTGTAATATTTCAAATTGACATTTTAGACATTTTGAAACACCATAAAGATACATTCTAGACAATTCACTATAAATGATCTGGATTCGTTAGTGTCACACTAAAACAAAGGATGTAAAGTAAATAAATACCGTGACACCAACAAATGTCTTCTTGATGTCAAAACCATTTCAAGGTAATCTTTGAATATTAAATTTTTATAGGAATTCGTGAATAAAAAAAAAATGAGAAAAAAATTTGGAAAATAAAAAGTACAAGTTAATTTTCTTTTTCTCTTTTTATTGGGTTAGGAAAAGATCAAGATTAAGGATTGTAATTGTTTTTGGAGATGTTTTACAGAAATTTGTTCAGTCTTGATTAGTTTTCAAAGGTAGAAGTCCTTTGACTATAATAATAATAGACTGACTGTAAGCAATTGATAATAGTACTCTTAAATGATTTGGTTCTTCCTCTATCATTGATTTCAGTATGAATATCAAAAATTAAAAACATATTAAATAAACATCATACTTATATTTAATAAACAAACTTACACAGGTTCACAGGCGTAGAAACAAGTTGGACAAATCATACACAACCCTTAAAATTACTACTGCTCACACTTTCACTTTTCACACTCACATTTCTAATAGCAAGAAAAACTTGCGATATTGGAAGCCTGCCTCATCATGGAGAAAGGGTCTGCTTGTATAGATTTGGGAAGACGAATTTGAAATAATTTGAAGTCTGAAGAGATAAGGTGTAATTTGCCTTTGTAACTTTTGGGTTGGAACGATAAGGTTTGCTTTTGAGTTGGAACGATAACGTTTGTTTGAGATGTTGGTAATCTGTTTTTTTATCAATGCCACATGACTTTTGTCCTGAGGAGAATCTGTTTTTATTTTTTGCTATAAATTATTGAGGTTTATTTCTTGACATGTGTCAGAATAGTCGTTGCCAATGCCTTGAGTGGAAATATGAGTTGCAGAAGATATTGGTAAAATTGTTGATGATCTTTTAGTTACATATTAAAAAACAACCCCGCTATAGACCCCCAGTGACTTGTGACCCCCAGTGACATGGTAATTGATGTGTAAACATAGTTGAAAAAAAAAAAAAAAAAAAAATCTAGAAAAAGCGGGAACCAAACCTGTAGCTCGTCTATCCTCACCTCTCGCCGCCATCCTCGTCTATCCTCGTCTTCCCTTGTCTATCCTCACCTCTCGCTGACATCCTCCTCCTCCACCGACGACGGCCATAGCTCGTCAGAATTTTTGCAAAAGTGTATTCTGGACAACGGCCATAGCTCGGCAGAAATTTTGACGACGGCTAAAGTTTTGGGCAATATCAGATTACTGTGCCTCCAATACACTTTCGAATGGTAATATCTCCATAGCTCGCTCTCATCTATCCTCAATCTTCGTTGCTCTCATCAATCTGGTTGCCCTCTGTCCATTAATCTGTAGGAAAATTTATAGTTTTGTGCCCCTGTAGGTAGTAAACTGAATGGAGATAATTAATTGTTGCTGTTCACAATTTTCAAAAACTACTTTTAGTTGAAACAAACAGGGGAAAACAAGTAAATTTATGTCAAAACTTTCAAGTAGATGTGACGAATTTTTCCTTGAAAACTTTCAAGTAAATTTATGTTGAGATATGACGAGTTTTTCCTTGAAAACTTTCAAGTAGGTGTGCTAGTTTAAGCAAATGGAATGGAACCTAAGGCAATATGTCATATCCAAATCCATTGGGTTTTGGTTTTACTACCCTATTGCCTTTGTAGTATAACTTCATTCGTACGCCCTATTGATGATATATCACCTAGAATGTTCTGTAGGGGTTTGATCTGGATTGGAGTCTGTTATGTGATAAAAACATCTTAATTGTGTCAGGCAATTCAGATTTTGTAATGAGCTTTTCGCAGTGCACAAGTAAATTTATCCGAAAAATGTTGAGGACTTACTTATAGACTTTGTAGGTACTAATACTATTTCATGTGATATTGAATTATTGGATCCTCTTCGCCTGTTAATTGGTGGTGACTCCTTTGAAATTCAAATTGTTAGGTGCTTTACATCATTCACTGTAATCCAGCTCAGAATTGTGTTCTTCAGCTCCTTCTAGTATATCATTAAGGATCAATGTGCAGGTTTCTGTAATGGCAGTGGGGATGTTTCTTATTTTGGTGCACCATTAGTTTTGAACCCTTATATACAATTATTGCCTCTTTTACAGTTTATTCGCTTCAATTAAGTTTATTTTCTCTGTGCTGCAAGTTAATTGTTCTAATAGCTGTATTTGTTTAATTGTTATTTCAGTACGCAAAGTGGAAGAATGGAGGTTGATTCAAATGTTGGTGAGAATCCTTTAATACATGAGGGCGAAGACGTTGAAGAACCTAAAAAGGGTATGCGTTTTAGCTCAAGGGAAGAGGTGTACACATTTTATGGCAAATATGCTAAGCATGTTGGATTTTCTATAGCTCATACATTTTGGAGATGATGGGCAATTGCTAAACTTTGCAATTGAATGTTTACGAGCGGGGCAGAGAAAAAAGAAATCAGAAGTCAACCCTCTGAAGCCATGTTTGTCCACAAAGATTGGTTGCACAGTAAGGGTACGAGGTAGTGTACAAAAGGATGGGAGGTATAAACTAACCACAGTTAACCTTGAGCATAATCATGATTTGATTCCCACCGACTCAAGTCATTTTGCAATGAATAAGAAAATTCTTACTCTTGTGAAGAGAAGATTAGAAATTAATGATCAAGCAGGGATTGGGGTGTCTAGGAACTTTCATTCAATGGTTGTTGAAGCGGGGGGATACGAGTCATTGACATTTGACGAGCGAGATGCAAGAAATTACATTGAGAGAGCTAGAAGGTTGAGGCTTGGGAAAGGTGATGCCGAATCACTTCAAAGTTATTTTATGAGGATGCAAGCACATAGTGAGAGATTCTTTTATGTGATTGATGTTGACGAGGAGTTTCGCATTAGAAACTTGTTTTGGGCTGATGCAAGGAGTCGGGCGACTTATGAAGCACTTGGAGATGTCGTTTCATTTGACACAACTTATTTGACGAACAAATATGACATGCCATTTGCTCCATTTTTCGGAGTTAATCACCATGGACAGTCCATTTTGCTTGGTTGTGGATTGTTGTCTAGTGAAGACACTAACACATTTGTTTGGCTATTCAAGTCATGGTTAAGTTGCATGTCAAATCATCCGCCAAAAGCTATCATAACTGATCAGTGTAGAGCTATGCAAAATGCTATAGAAATTGTGTTTCCACAAGCTCGACATCGGTGGTGCTTATGGCATATCATGAAGAAAATTCCGGAGAAGTTGAAAGGATATGCTCAATATGAAGCCATAAAGTTGGCTATGCAAAATGCAGTTTATGACTGTTTGACAAGAGCTGAATTTGAGAGTAAATGGGAAGAGATGCTTGTAACATTCAATCTTTATGATAATGACTGGTTGGGGGTACTATATGATGAGCGGAATCGATGGGTACCTGTCTATGTTAAAGACATTTTTTGGGCTGGCATGTCAACTACACAACGAAGTGAAAGTATGAATGCGTTTTTTGATGGATATATAAATCCAAAAACTACATTGAAGTAATTCGTTGAACAATATGACAATGCCTTGAGAAATAAGGTAGAGAAATAGAAGAAAGCAGACTTCAAGTCTCGACACAAATTGTTTGATTGCCTAACTATATATGGTTTTGAGAAGCAATTTTAGTAAGCCTACACCAATGCGAAATTCAAAGAAGTTCAAGGAGAGTTGAAAAGATTAGTTTACTGTCAGGCGGTGATTGTGAAAGAGGAGGGATCAATTTGTACATATAATGTCCAAGAAGCGATGGTAGTTTGTGAAAAGATAAAGCATGTGGACTTTGTTGTCTATTTTAATTCAACTGAACGTGAAGTTCAATGCATGTGTCGGTTGTTTGAGTTTTGGAGGCATTATGAGTTTTCTCTTTTATGCAATGCCTCTTTTATCTTCTCATTTAATGGGAAAACCTGTTTCATAGATACAGGTTTCATAGATTATGCATAGGTTTATGAAATTATGAAAACCAAGATTATGTTTCATAATCTTGGATCCATCCTGTTATGTTTCATAGATACAGGTTTCGTAGATTATGAACAGGTTTATGAAATTATGAACAGGTTTCCAAGATTGGGATAGACAGGTTTATGAAATTATGTCTATCCTGTCATAATCTTGGATAGACAAGTTTCCAAGATTATGTTTCATAGATACAGGTTTCATAGATTATGAACAGGTTTCATAAATTATGAATAGGTTTATGAATAGGTTTTCATAATTTCAAATCAATGATAGTAGCTTCTTCCAAATTTCGTTGTTACAGCTTTATGACATCTTATTCCAAATTCAAAATTCAAGTATGTTACAGCTTTATGACACCTGCGTAAATCATTGTTTATGAACAGGTTTAACATGCGTAAATCAGCTTTATAAAGTATTCAGTATTATTCCGAATTCAGCTTATGAACAGGTAGCCTGCGTAAATCACAGATATACATTATTTATGAATGCTGAATACTGCGTAAATCACAGATTGAATACTGAATACTTGAATTTGGTTTAACCTGCGTAAATCACTGTTTATGAACAGGTTTAACCTGGTTTATCAATCACTGTCATAAAGCTTTATAAAGTGACAGAAACAGGTTTATGAACAGGTTTAACATTTCGTTGAGGAATTTCATCGAACAGGTTTATGACAATGTAAGACTTCAAATGAAAAGGCCACAATTCCCAAATGACAAGGCCAAATTCAATCCCCAAGATCAGATAGCATGACAGAGAAAATCAAAAAGCCAAATTCAAATTTAATTTTTCAGTATTCAATCCAAATTCAAAGTATTCAGTATTCAATCCAAATTCAAGTATTCAGTATACAATCCAAACCCAAAGAGTGATTTACGCAGATATACACAGATAGATAGATATATAAAATGAAAAGGCCAAATTCAATCCCTAAGATCAGATAGCATGACAGAGAAAATCAAAAAGCCAAATTCAAATTTAATTTTTCAGTATTCAATCCAAATTCAAAGTATTCAGTATTCAATCCAAATTCAAGTATTCGGTATACAATCCAAATCCAAAGAGTGATTTACGCAGATATACACAGATAGATAGATATATATCAGATATACACAGATAGATAGATATATACAGGCTTCACAGATAGATATATATACAGATATATATATATATACCCAGAAAAATTTACCTCTTAATCGGAGATTCGGGAGAAGCGGGAATGAGCTATGTCGGAGTGAAGGGTCGGAGTGGTCGCCGGCGTCGGAGCAGGGGTCAGGCGTTGGAGTGGTTACCGTTGGCGCGAAGACATATGTGTTTGAGAGGAGGGGGGAGATTTCAAAATGATGACCGAAGATGTGTTTGGGTCTTAACGTCACGTGACAATCACGTGCGGTGCCACCTCAGCTGGGGGTCTCCAATACTGGGGGTGCGAAGCATTTTTCATTAAAAAATGAGTATGTATAAGTAATTCTCTCTCTTTCCTTTCACAAATCCAAAATCAAATACAACATAAAAATATCTATTTAAGACCCCAATTTTGACACTTCTACCAAATAATTTGATTTCATAACTCAACACAACACAACAACCAGTGAAACTGTGGTAGCTGTGGATGATATGATCTAAGGTACCCAATTCTGATAGTTTTACCAAATATTTGATTTCAAAACTCAACAACCACTGAAGTGTGGTAGTTGTAGACCATAACATGGTTGGGCTTTCAAACTTGAGAGAATTGTTTGGTTCATATGTTTTATCATGTTTTTTATTTATTTATTTATAATTATTTAAATTTTTTATTTTGTAAGATTTTTTTATGTATCATTTATGAGAAAAAGTAAGTCGATCAAAAAAAAATATATATATATATATATAATTGCATTTTATTGCATTTGTCTAACAAAAAAGTAGATGGTTTATTTTTAAAAACACATTTGTGATATATATATATATATATATGTGGGGATATATTTTCTGAGTACCAACACGTGGCCAAGGTGACGCCGACGTGTCAGTCGAGGTGCCACGTGTTCTGTTCATGACGCTGAGGTGATTTCGGCTAGGCCGAGGTTGTCTCCGAAGATATCGAAATCCAGGATAAGCGGATAAGGGACAAGAGTTCTAGAATGAGAAAGGACTTCGGCCTGGATAAGGATAAAGCTCTTAGGGAGTTTATCTTTATCTATTGAGGAGTCCAGGATAAGCACTGAGCTAAAGTCCATTGAAGCAAGGCTTCTATTGGGACTAGGATTGAGTAAACTATAAAAAAGAGGCACCCCTATAGGTCTAAGGTACGCAATTTATATTCTGAATAGTGAGTTAAGCACTTGATTTATCTTTGAGAGATAACTGACTTGATCGTCGGAGTGCCCCCGGGTGGACAAACCACTGCCGGAATCTCTTCTTTCTGTTGCAGGCCAATCAGGCGCCATCTATTCTGCCAGTGCTCTTCAGCTGAATACTGAGTTGGCAGTGTGGTCGGAAATTGATACACACAATTGGCGCTGTCTGTGGGAAAGAAAGGAGGATAGATGGCCAACGACAGACAGAAGGATAAGGTTAGAGATGAAACCCCTGCTGGGAACGGTAAACACGTTGATCCTAATATGGAGGAAGATGGTTGCAACGAGGAGACTTAGAACCAGAATCACGGAAAGAAAGACGTCGGCCAGGATGGCGACGTGCCAAAGAAACCAGATTGAAGCGGGTACTACAACGAGGACGACCTCCAGGTATAGAAGGATAGATGCCTGCGGAGGGATGAAGAGGTAAAAGAGATGGCGAACAAATTGGCAGACCTGCAATCGGTCGTCAATTTTATGATGCAAAACAACGTCATGCAGCCATCGTTCCCGCTGCAGGACACGTCAATTCCAACGGCTAATGCCCAGAAGGGAGGGCAGAAAACAATCCCTATAGCCCCCCATCACACCAGGAGTGAAAGACACTCTCATCGGCCTTCAAGGAAGGTCGGACGAGGAGAGTCGAGGAGGGAAGAGTTTCGAAGGACACATCACACCAAGGAGGCAGACCCCAAAGAACATCGGCATGTTCAAAGGCAGGCGTTGTGCTTCGACACAACTAATGGAGAAAGGTCGAAGAGGGCTCACAACGAAGCCGAAAGTAGTGCACCAAAAAGGTTGAAATCAGGAGATAGCCGAGCTCCTGGGCGGACAAAGGAGGACTTGAGAGATTACCTCAAGATGAAGCAACAAGATGTCGAGGTAACCTCCCCTGTTAAGCCGAAAACACCATTCTCAGCGGAGTTAGACAAATTTGAGGCCCTAAAAAGATTTAGTATGCCGAGGTTCCAAATATACGACGAAAAGTCGGACCCTAACTTTCACGTCGGATTATACTTACACTCGATGGCACTATACACTGGGAACGAGCCGTTGCTCTACAAGGGGTTCCCCTCATCCTTCGGGGAGATTGCATCAGATTGGTTTCACAAATTGCCAAAGGGAAATGTGAAGACCTGGGAAGGCCTGACCGAGATGTTTGTGGCCAGGTTCGTGACAAACAAACTACAGCTGTGGTAGCCGGATTTTATTATACCCATAGGGATGGATGCGTGTGTCTGGTCCGAAACGTAACCTCTATTCGGTATATACCCCAGCCAATCAAGGAGCCGAGTAAAATAACTAGTATCCCAGCCTGTAGAATAGACGCCGAGTAGAGGTACATGTGACGGAACAAGGATGGGCCCAGTCCAAAGGCCCAAAGAAAATACTATAAATACGGGATCACCCACTAGAGAAAAGTATGTGAGAATTACTATACTTTACTTAAAATATAAGCAATTCAGAGACTGACTTGCCCGTCGGAGTGCTAATTCCGGCACCCCCGACCGGAGTGTTTATCCCTTTTCAGGTGACTAGAAGAGGATCACAAGCGTCTCCCAAGATCAGAAGAGTATTTCCCAAACCACTTCTCCACAATTGGCGCCGTCTGTGGGAATACTCAAATATATCTATAGCAGGTGTAACAGAAGATCCTCCAATAGTCACTGATGAAACCACGCAAAGAGACGACCTCACTTCAACAAACATGCTTGGACCGGAGACTATCGCCGCAAGACGTGCCTTGAACTTCGCCTCACCCTCGACTTCGGAGTATGAGACAATGCAGGCGATCATGGAACAAGCAAAGCAAAATGAACAGAGGTTGGAGAACATGATCGCTGAGAACGAACGTCTTCGTGAAGATTTGGCCTTGGAAGTGGCGAAGTCTAAACAAGCTATACGCCTAAATCCGGAACGATCTCCGAAGGCAGGTGGTCGACGACCTCGACCCCGACAAGACGACACTGATAGCGACTCCGACTCGTTATCCCCGGAGCCCAGGAAGAAGGGGCGACCTGAAACCACCAGTTCTTCTTAAAAAAGTCCCCGTATAAGGCACAAGCGAAGAAGGAACAGCTCGGACGAAGATCAACACGATCCCTTCATACGACGGATTGTAAAGGCAGTGCTACCCAAGAAATTCAAAGCATCGTCATTCACCTTGTACGATGGCAAATCAGACCCCACCGACCACAT